AATGAGGTTAGGGGGGAGAGAGAGAGAGAGAGAGAGAGAGAGTGCAAGAGGGAAAGTTAATAAAAACAGAGATCCGAAGGGTATCATGAAAAGCACAAGGAAGAAATTAACCCTAGAGCAGGAAAGACGCGCGAGAGAAGATGGAGACCGAAACGGAAGCAAAGCGGCAAATAAAGGAAAAAAGAAGAGGAAGAGGAAGAGAGGGAAAAGGGGAAAAAGACAAGAGAAGGCGGATAAGATCTTATATCGTTAGATACACAAACCATATCATATCCAAACTGGACTTGAATGAAATTAAAAACTCCCCCTCCAAACAACCCCTGCATCGAGTGAAGAATTCCATGGACAGATATTAGGACCACGGGTCACATATGAAGCTGAGGAAAACAGATTGTCAGATACTAAACATGATTTCCCCTTCTTTATTCCCTTTTCTCTTCTTTGATGACACTACACGCGATGTATCTTTCGCCAGAAGATCGAAAAAGGTATAGGTCGGGACACACACAATGTGGTCGAGATCGGGACACACAATGTGGCCGCAGATCGGGACACACAATGTAGCCGAGATCGGGACAAACAATGTGAGAGAGATCGGGACAAACAACGTGAGAGAGATCGGGACAAACGATGTGTACAAGATCAGGACAAACAATGTGGGCGAGATCGGGACAAACAATGTGGGCGAGATCGGGACAAACGATGTGAGAGAGATCGGGACAAACAATGTGGGCGAGATCGGGACAAACAATGTGGGCGAGATCGGGACTGATTGCGTTAGAATTTTCTGAGAACAGAGAGGGCATTGCCAAGCCAGATAATGTACAAGGAAATCAGACCGAGTAGAAAACCATATATCGCAATTACTGCGTTAAGTTGGGACTTTTCCCCGAACACAACGCACTCTCGTCACGTAGCTCGGTCAGTTGTCGATAAGATCACGAGATCGCTCCATCCATCCTACTCCCTCACTACCCCTGTTAGGGCAAGGGTAACATGCAATCCCCCTTATAGAAGGGTGGCTATGCTATGCTTAGAGGGGTGCCCTATTTACACCCCTATGAGGAGAAGTGGCCGGCCCTATTTACACCCCTAGGAGGAGAAGTGGGCGGTAGGTAGTGAAAGGTGAATTTGAGAGGGAATCAAAAAGCACCAAAAAAAAAAAAAAAAAAAAAAAAAAACCTGAGATTAGCTCGTAGATTGTGGATAAGATAACCTGATGCGCTCAGAAGAGATTGCGATTGATGGGACGTTCGTTAGCAGGCTAGGAAATTGTTCCTCGGTCCACTACACAAAACGCTAAGTGAATCTGGAGGTCATAATCTTTCCCGATGCATTCGAAATGTTGGGACTCCTCCGAATGCACCCGGTCCAGAAAGACGTCCAAATGCATGTAGAATCTTGAGAAGTGGACCGACGCGCATTGGGTAAGATGCACCTGGTCCAGAGAGACGTCCAAATGCCCGACGGCCATTGGGTAAGAGATTTGAATAAGAGATGACAACTGGACGAAAGCCATCAAGGAATCAGAGAGCCTCATCTGTCCGTCGTGGGATTCGATCCGTGGCCAGCTGCCGCAATTTCTGTTTCGTATTGCTTTTGCTGCTGGTCGATGTCCGTCATCTCCACCTCCGGGGCTTCCATAGCTGGACCTTGGAGGAAGACGATGTCGGGATCGTCCAGCAGCTTGCGCGCCAGGTAGAGGAATGGCTTATCCACGTTGTAATTGCCCTTGGCAGACATCTCGCAATAGTCTAGGTTGGCCTTCGTCTTGTGGAAGGTCACGTGATGGGGCTTCACCTGCCTTTTGTTGACGTCAACCTTGTTCCCACAGAGGACCATCGGGATCCGGAGGTCGCAGACGCGACAGATGTCCTCGTACCATCGGGAAACGTTTTTGTAAGAGGACTTACAGGTGACGTCAAACATAATGATGGCGCAACTGCCATGCACGTAGTATGCATCTCGAAGGCCACCGACTTTTTCCTGACCGGAAGTGTCCCAGCAATTGAAAAGAATGCGACCGCGATTTGTGACGAAAAGAAGAGGACGAACCTGGACGCCGATCGTGGGTTCGTACAGCTCTTCAAACTCTCCAGTCAGGTGACGTTTCAAGAAAGTAGTCTTCCCTGCTCCGCCATCGCCAACAAGTATCAGCTTGAAACTTGGGATCTGTTCCGTCGGTGGCTGACTGCTGACAAGCGACGCCATAGATGTGCGACTTGTAAAGCACGCCACCGGAAGCGTACGTAGGGTGTCCAAATCGCCGTGACTGAATTATACTCTACGTAGTAATAACTTGCAAATCCACTGTCCAACCTCTAAAAATAGAACCCTAACGATACCTTATCTATTCCACAAACCCTCTCTCCACTGTCCAACCTCTAAAAATAGAACCCTAACGATACCTTATCCATTCCACAAACCCTCTCTCTCTCTCTCTCTCTCTCTCTCTCTCTCTCTCTCTCTCTCTCTCTCTCTCTCT